GCACAATTTTTCCACATGAAGGTTTTCCAGGTGACAAACCAGGAAACTTTGATAAAGTTTTGCAATCAAGATTATTCTATACAACATATTCAGATACAAAACCAATTAGAGCTTGCATGGGTTGTATTTTCAGAACTATTAGGATGGTTTCAGCACACAGTTCCAGCACAGAAGCAGAGTCATGGACATCCAAAATTGAGCAGTCCATCTAGAATTCTGTCCTTTATGTTACCCTTCTGTTCACTAGCCCATCTACAACTCTCTGAAGCTCAAGTGATGAGGGTGCCTTATTTAACTCAACATAACAGGAAGTTGTGAAAAAGTGTCAAGAGCAGATTCTGTGTGGTATTTCCTTCTCCATGCCCTTCACCTTTCCTGCAGATATCAAAGGAGCCTATGTGTAAACCAGAACAGATGGAAGGTTTTATATCCTAGCATTACTGAAAGCAAAGGCAAAAATACATCACCTCCTAATCACGGAAAATCACTGCGATGACAACTTCTACACTTGTCAGCCACATGGGAATTCACCACAAAGCTCAGGATGGTCTCTCACGTGAGTAATTTGTTCTGCCTGACAACAAGTCAGGGAAAAACAACTGTCATGGATCAAGGTGTTCAACCTCTGTTCCTGATCACACAGAATAACATCCCACTGTATGTGGTTGGAAAATTCTGCTCTCTTGGTTCACAATGATAATTTGCCCCTTCAGGAATAACACAGGGAAAGCAACTACCAGCTTTGGTCGACTCACAAAACATTTATGAGACAACATCAAAACTAATCCTTTGGGCTAAACTGATTACTTCTAGTCCTTGCTGTACGGCTGTAAAACACAGGTACTTATTGCATTATAGGTCTATTCTGGCAGGACAAAATCACAAATGAGGCACTTTTCTTGAAGGTAGAGTTTCCAACAGTGATGAAACCATTCAAACAGAGGTACGTTTGATGCTTCAAGCACATCAACAATTCAGAAAGTGGTTGCATATCCAAGGACCTGCTATAGGTGTAAGACAGCAGGAGCCAGATGATCAGGGGCATGAGCTGGGGAGTTCACAATTGTGAGCTGGAAGATATGTGTAGCCAACAAATAACATAAGGACCCCAGACAATCTCATACTTCAATGAATAAAGGAAACACGGAGGATGATCAACATGAATTCCTAGAGAGCTGTGGTACACTTTGGATTATTTCATAATAAGCTAAGTAACCCTCAGGATCCTGTAAAGGATATAGAAATGCCTGGAAAGAAATGGAATGTGTGCGCTCTGTTGAACTTTTCAGGTGTGAAGCACAAATGTTTATAAAATACAGAATTAAGTTAGCACTTGCTTTGTTTAACACTTGTGCAGCAAAGTTACAGTTAGTAACTGAAAGTATTCTTTTTCATTTTAGAAGGTTAGTGCTTAGGGTCAGTTCATAAAATTTTTTTTAAACAGGTTAATAAAGACAGAAAAATGTGTAAATACTCAACAGGGCAGGCAGCATCTGTGGGGAGATAAAGATAGCTAACACTTCAGGTTGATGACTTCTCATTAGAACCAGAAAACATTAAGAGATGCAACAAGATTTTAAGTAAATGGAAACGCAGGTAGGGAAGGAAATGCAACAAAGGAAAAGTCTTCACTAGGGTACAAAGCAACACCAGATAATAATTAAACAAGTCAGGAAGTAAAGGATGTGCCTTGAGGAGGTCTAATTTTCTATTCAACCTGTTCAGAGATGTTATTACAGACCTCTGGAGCAGGCAGGACTTGAACCTAAGCCTCCTGGTCCAGGGGTAGGGATACTACCATTGTGTCATATGAGGGCTCCCTGCGAGGAGGTCTAAATGGGCTAACAAAATCATTATGAACAGCTGCTGTCTGATTAAAAAAAAGCACGGCAATTATGATTTGAAATTGTTGAACTTGATGTCAAGTCCACAAGATCATAAATGCCCATTCAAAAGGGATGCTGTTCCTCAGGCTTATATTAAGCGTCATTAGAACATTTTAACGAGCCCAAGAAGAGAGGGATCAAAGTTGGGATGGGGGCGAGGAAATTCCTAGTTACACTTGCAGACTGAACAAAGGTGTTTAGTGAAGAGATCAACTTATCCTCACATTTTGTCCATAATATGAAGGAGGCTGAATTGTGAGCAGAAGATACAGGGTACAGAATTTAAAGTAGTATGAGGAAATTTCTGTTGTACATGGAAGGGTGTTTTGGACTCTGGACCGTGAAAAGGACAGATGCAAAAGGGTAGGTGTGGCCTCTCTTTTGCCTGCACTGGTGCAATAATACGTTTTTTTGAGGGGAGCTAATTGGGGGGTGGGTGATTCAAGAGTACAGCAAATTTTATGATGGAAACAGTCTTCTTAAAATGCTGATATGCAAAGTAACATTTGATAGTGACAACATGAAGTTAAAATAATCTGGAGGCTGTTGGAGTGAAAGGTAAGGATAAGGGGTACCCTATCTGGGTAGGAGGAGAAGGGTGAGAGTAAAAGTTCACGAACTAGAAAGAGTGGACACAGTTTAGGACCCTATTAAATAGAGGGGGCCCAAGTAGAACTGGAACAATGTATGCTCTATAGTATTCCACAAAAAAAAATCATGTATAGGCATAGTTTCCAATTTTACTTGGTGGAAGAGATTTATAAAATCATGACAGGCATGGATAGGGTGACTAGCCAAGGTCCTTTTTCTAGGGTGGGGGCTTCCAAAACTAGAGGGCATAGGTTTAAGGTAAGAGGGAAAAGATTTAAAAGGACCTGAAGGGTAACTTTTTCCATGCAGAAAGTGGTGAGTGTATGGAACGAGCTGCCAGAGGAAATGGTGGAGGCAGGTACCATTACACATTTAAAAGGCATCTGGATGGATATGACTGGAAGTGTTTCCAGATGTAGGCCAAATGCTGGCAAATGGGGCTAGGTCAGATTGGGATCTCTGGTCGGTGCGGACAAATTGGACCGAAGTGTCTGTTCCCATGCTGTATGACCCTATGACACTAAGTAAATGAATTAAAGAATCAGCTGATTATGACAAGTACAGGTTCACCGAGTAGTGGTTAGGGATTGGTTGGACCTCTGATCATGGAAGAGCCTGAGCCCTTCAGGTTATTCTGGTGAGCAATGGATATGTGAAAGAATTTATGAAAAAAGGAGATAGTTACATTCATTGCCACTGGAAACTTAGCAACAATTGTTAGACTTTCTACTTTCCTTTTCAGTTTGGGACATTTCTTTTGAAGCTGGTGATTTATGCACTTGCAAAGATGTTAAACCTTTCAACACCTTCACCCTCACTGGGTCTATACTAACATTCCACACTCCTACTCAACTATTATATTTAACTTGCCTCCATCTTTTGTGAAGACAGATGAAAAGTATTAAGAACCACGTCCAAATCTTCCATCTTCACACACACTGAATGTAAATTTCTCTCCACAGGTATTATCTGGCCAATTGAGTAACTGCCAACATTTTATATTTTTCTTTCAGATTTCTGAACCTTCATAGTATTTTGTTTTCATCAAGGATGCATGTCTTGTCTGATATCAGGATAGATCCAATTATCCCCACAGTAACTAGATCCTTACTTCCACTTGCTGGGGAGAATCAGCTGGTCACGATAGGTCTGACAGGCCACCAAGTGGGCCTGCAACACGTATAAAAATCTTGAAGTAACACCATGAAATAAAAGAGATAAAACCAAAATGTGAAGAAATTCAGCAGGTCTGGCAGCCTCTATGGAGTGAAAAACAGAGTTAACATTTTGAAGCCATTACAGCTCTTCTTCAGAAATGTTGCAAAGAACAGTGTTTGGAAAGGAGGTTATGGTCACGATGGATTTGAAACATTAATTCTTCTGGTCTCTTCACAGGTGCTGCTATACCCGAGTTAGAATCATAGAATCCCTACAGTGTAGAAGCAGGCCATTCGGCCCATCAAGTCCGCACCGACTTTCCGCAGAGCATCCCACCCAGACTCACCCCTGCATTTCTCAGCCTAGACACTATGGGCAATTTAGCATAGTCAATCCAACTAACCTGCACATTCTTTAGACTGTGGGAGGAAACCCACACAGACATGGGGAGAATGTGCAAACTCCACACAGACAGTCACCCAAGGCTGGAATCAATTCTGGGTCCCTGGTGCTGTGAGGCAACAGTACTAACCACTGAGCCACCAACAGTTTTTCCAGCATTTTCTATTTTTATTTCAGACCTCTAGCATCCTGTGTAGTTTTATTCCATCCAAGACAGATGTAGGAGGACAGCAAGACCAATATTTAGTGGTACATTTACCCCTTGTTTAAGTTACATGCATGTTGCAAAGTCAGCCGCGTGCCTTAAACAGCAATTTAGAAATATTTTTGTTTCTCCACACTGGTGCCTCAGCAAGCTTTATTCTGCTCCTCTGATGCTGCCTGGCCTGCTGTGTTCCTCCAGCTCCACACCTTGTTATCTCAGACTCCAGCATCGGCAGTTCCTACTATTCCTTATTCAAACTACAATATTTTCAAGCATTTCTCTTACGAAATCTTAACTTAAAAATGGGCAATATCTATTTATATTAACTGCAAGACCGATCAAACTGTAGCCTCACAGGCAGTGGTGTATCCCGTTGTGAGTAATAATTATGTGCTGAAAGGGGAATAAAATACTAATAGAAATTCAAATTTAGCTTTTCCATTGCACTGAAATGAACAATAAAGGGGCGGGAGATGCAAGAGTTTGAATACACCAATGCAAGCAGTTACCTGAACAAAAACAATGAATAATTACTGCCCACCAGGGTTGGTCGAAGACTCACCCCTCCTGCACAGCAACAGGAGCATTTGGGGGTGGGGGGGAATATGTTTCAACCAATTGTGTTTTTTTTTGGGGGGGGGGGTGTGGAACACTCCCATCTCTCATTGGTCTTTCCTTCACAGCCTAGCCGGTTGGGTAACACTAAACAATCCCACGTTTCCCTCCCCTCCTCGTTTCCGGCCTGGGTTAGTACCTACCTCCCAGAGCAAGAATCTGGGCCTTCCGGCAGTGCCCCCCCTTAGTAACGGTGCCTGTTTCCGGCTCTCCTGCCCCGGGCCCTGGTGCCGGAGCCGGTCCCGGTACCACTCCCGGCAGCGACAGTCGATAAACTTGTTTCTTGTTGAAGTCGCACTTGGATGCGGGGTGGAAATTTTTAATGTGGGACACGGGTATAATATGATGCACTTGGTCCTGCAGGAAGCGCACGCAGGCGAACATGTTTGTTGAAGGGCGCTGCCAATAGCAGTATCAGCAGCAGCTGCCGTCGCCACCACCTTTTTCTCCTCCTCCCCCCTCCCGGCTCCGAGTAGAGCGGAGAGGAACACAAGCCGATCTCAGGCTCCACCGCGAACCACCACCACCCCTCCCCTCACCCTCTCCAGCAGCTGGCTGCGCCTGACGTCACCGACAGAGGCGCCCCGGCGCCAGCAGCAGGAGGTAGACTCGGACTGTACCCCAGGGCAAACGCGCTCTCACGGATCCCAGGCTCTGCTTTGTGTACAACCGACCCGGTGGGCAGTGAATAACGTTCCAAACATTCCGCGTTTGAAATGTATGCAATTTGTCGCAGCGTACCCGTTTACTGTCTTGATTATTATTATAATATTTTGCAGAATGGGGTTGTTTCGCATGTTGGACAAGACTCCCACGGTAGGATGAGGTAAAAAGCGCATGCAACAGCCCAAAGTTTAAAAGAACTGCTTAACACGATAAATAATGCAAACTTTACCTAGTACATTGCTCGAAACGCAGTGAATATCCAAGACGAATACCGTACGAAGAAAACTTTTAATGCGCATGGCATAAATGTATACAGTAGTTTAGCCTCAGGGTTTGAAAAAAAAACATTTATTTTGTAATTTTTTGGACTCATTGAGACAAGGAAAATTAACATTGGATAATTTGCCATTTTTATTTTGGGAATTCAAGCATGTGACTGCAGCCGAAAGCCAGCGTTTTCTATCTTATCAGAAGAGCACACCTACTTGTAAATCTGATGTGTTCCCTTTCCCGAACTACAAAAATGATGTCTTAAAATCTGTAATCTCTTAAATTTACAGCCCTTCACAAGTTAATGTCATGCATTAGAGTAAGATTTGTGCCGTCGGAGTACAGAGATTTTTTTAAAAAAAATTTTGGGCTATGTGTTTTTTATTCTTCTAATATTTCTCTTAAAAGGTGGTGAGGCGTATAAAATAAGAATTTTGATGGCATTGAGCGAACAGTAACGTATTTGGAAGTTAGGATGGTACGAATTAAGGGAACTTAGGTCCAGGCCCGAAACGTCAGCTTTCCTGCTCCTCTGATGCTGCTTGGCCTGCTGTGTTCATCCAGCTCTCTACACCTTGTTATCTCAGATTCTCCAGCATCTGCAGTTCCTGCTATCTCAAACAACTTTTTAGGTGGTTGTGTTCCAAAGTGCCTACTGCCTTTTTGAGCAATTAAGGTCACAGGTTTGGATGATGTTATTGAAATCTGGATGATTGCTGCAGGGCACCTATTAGACTCTACTTAGACTACAACAAAATAGTGCGTACGACAGAGTAAATTTTGAACAAACACATTTAATGAGGGACATTTTCAGGATATTATTCTGGGAGGAATTCCAGAGTGGGTCCCAGCCAGGTCCACTCAGTTTCTTGTTTTTTCCTTTCGCTTGGAAAACTATAAAGTTGAGTGAATTATGTTGTATGCACTTGATTTCTGCACATTATTATACATTGTTATGCACATAAACTATGCAGGAGCTTGCTACACCAAATGGCAATTAAAATTTATTAGATGCAGTAAATACTACAGATGGTGCTTTTCATGAGCAGGAAGTGAACATACTTTATCCTTTAAGACAGTGATCTTCAAACTGTCCTATGTGCACATCAGTCATGTTTCAGTGCCTTGCAGCTTGAAAACTGCAGACTCTTACCAGGTAGTTCAAGCTTGTTGAATCATGTTTTTCAGTTTGATCCAGATGCAGAGTACAGTTAAGTTTTATGGGGCAATGCAACAATTGAATCATAAATATATTCAGAAGTGATGTGTGAAGCTAGTGTATTACTGCACTAGAAATATTTGGCCTTCTCAAGTCCATGCAAACTCTTGGCAAGGGCAGCTTAGCTAGTCCTCCTGGTAACCATATCGGATAAAGAGCCCTTCATAAGGAAGAATAACGCAAAGCATTTTACAAAGATAAGAAGATTCCAAGCCCAAAATCATAGTGGTCAATAAGAGAGATAACAAACAAACGATCAACAAGGTACATTTTTAATGAATCTGTTGAATTCAGATGCAGCGTCATCAAACTAGTTTTGTGAAAAACTTTCCCAAATTAGAAGCTTAATGTTGTTACAAAACTTCCACTAAAAATAAGTGCTACCCTCAGACAAATTTTCTACCATGGCTAAGATTGTTTTTACGTCAACCTGAAGTAAGGATTGTGATATGGAAAATTCAGCCAAAAACAAAAAGAATATTGGATCTTTTATTTGTTTACAATGACGTTATGCGACACCAACATGTAGAGGTGGTAGCATTGTGGTAATTTTTTTTTCCTCTTTGTGGGATGTGGGTGTCACTGGCTGGCCAGCATTTGTTGCCCTTGAGAAGGTGGTGGTGAGCTGCCTTCTTGAACTGCTGTGGGCTGACCCACAAGGCCACTGGACTAGCAACCAAGAGACTTAGGCTAATGTTCTGGGGATAAGGGTTTGAATTTCATCATGGCAGATAGAATATAGAACATTACAGGTCAGGAACAACTCTTTTGGCCCACCATGTCTGCAGCACCATTATGCTATTCTAAACTAATCTCATCTGGTTGTACATGGTTCATACCCCTCTATTCCTACGTGTTCATGTGTCTGTCTAAATGCCTGTTAAACTTGGCTGATGTATCTGGATCTACAACCTTCCCCTCACCGTGCATTCCAGGCACCTACATCCTCTGTGTAAAAAAGCATTCTTCACAGATGTCCCTTAAACATTTCCCCTCTAACCTTAAATCTATAACCCTTAGTATTTAACATTTCCACCCTGGGAAAGAGACTCTGAGTATCTGCCCTATCTGTACCTCTCATAATTTTTGGATATGAATTACTTCAGTATCGAAGGATTTTCAAATGGTGCTGAACATCGCGCAATCATCAGCGAACATCCCCACTTCTGACTTGAAGGTAGCTGAAGATGTTTGGGCCTAGGACACTACCCTGAGAAACTCCTACAGAGATGTCCTGGAGCTGAGATGACTGATCTCCAACAACCATGACCATCTTCCTACATATCAGTTTTGACTCCAACCACCAGATATTTTGACCCCGATACCCATTGATTCCAGTTTTGCTAGGGCTGCTTGATGGCACAGTCAGTCGAATGCAGCCTTGATGTAAAGGGCTGTCACTCTCACCTCACCTCTAGAATTCAGCACTTTTGTCCATGTTTGAACCAAGGCTGTACCCACATTCGCCACTTCCTCTGGAAATTTGTTCCACACACAAACCACTCTCTGTGCAAACAAATTGCCTCTTGTGTCTTTTTAAAATGTTTCTCCTGTCACCTTAAAAATATGTCCTCTAGTCTTGAAATCCCCCACCCTAGGGAAAAGATACCATTCACCTTACCTATACCCCTCATGATTTTATAAATATCTGTATGGTCACCCCTCAACCTCCTACACTGCAGTGAAAGAAGTCTTAGCCTACCAACCTCTCCTTATAACATAAAACATCCATTCCCAGCAACATCCTGGTAAATCTCTTCCGAATCCTGTACAGTTTAATAATATCCTTCCTATAACTGGGCGATCACAACTGGAGACAGTATTCCAGAAGAGGCCGCACCAATGTCCTGTACGACCTAAACATAACATCCCAAGTCCTATACCCAAAGGACTGAGCGATGAAGATAAGTGCACTAAATGCTGTCTTAACCACCCTATCTATATATGTGATACAAACTTCAAAGAATTAACAAATCACTGGTGTCCCAGCTGTGAATGAATCTCTTCCCACGCTTGGCACAAGTTAATGGTTTCTCACTGATGTTTAGTTGAGATGAAAGCATGAACCCAGTCACACACCAACCAGCTATTTCCACCTCAGGAACATCACCCTAGACTCAGATCCTCTGCTGCTGAAACTCTCATTCGTTCCCTTGTTAGCTCTGAGTATCTAAAACTCTGAAACCCACACGCTCACTTGTACCAAGATAAGTACCATCGCTCCTGTGCTCCCTGACCTACAAAGACTGCTATCTATAAACAAAAACATTTTAAAATTCTCACCTTTGACTTAATTCCTGGCTGCGATCATCCCAACCTCCCCACACCATACAACCTTCAAGACTTCGACAACTCATTTAGTTTAAGACTCCAATAATATGTTTATTCATTGCTTCACCATTGGTGGCTCAGCACAATCTGGAATTCCCACCCTGAACCTCACTGGTTCGCTTTCCTCCATTCAGATATTCCTGTAAACCTATTTATTTGGCAATACTTTTGGTCACCTGACCTACTATCTCCCTCTGTGGCCTCAGGACGCACATTCCTCTATAATATTTGTGTAATTAGAAACATGATAAAATTTAAATTATTGTTACTTTGTACATATATCATCAACTAAAATTATTAAAATGCTTAAGTGAAGCCTTCAGACTATTCTTGTAGTTCTTCCTTTACCACCATGAAAACATATCTCGTTATTCTTTTTGTGGTTCTGTAAGTGAATGTCACATATTCTGACTTGTTGAACAGCCCTATTCAGTTAGGACATCTCCAATATGTTATTGGCACTTTCATGTCAGCTCAATGAATGCACCTCAGCGTCTGGTATTTGGGCCTGCCATTTAATCTTCAAAAGCTTCAAAAGACGGTGAGTGTAAATGGTCGAGCTTCTTGCCACAACATTTGTACACAATCCCAGTCTCACATACATAGATCAGAGCTGACTTGTTTTAACTGACATTCAGCTTGGTAGACTGACTTTCTCCTCTTCATTCTCAGACTGATGTTCAAAATCTGCTGAAGACAACACTTACTTTGGCGATTCTTGCATGTCTCTCATTGTCAATATGTACAAGAAAGTGAGCTGCTGACATAAGTGAACATACCCAGTGCTGAGAGATTCTGATCATGGACTGACTCCTTGGGCATGAGACATGACTTTCTTGGAATAGACTTGTACATCAATTCAGATTTTGTCAAGTTGATCCTAAGGCTAAAGTTGTTACATGCACTGAAGAACAAGTCCATGCTACATGTATCTCCAACTCTGAACTGGCAGTTAGTGCACAGTCATCAACAAACACGAAATTGTACAACACGTTGATAAATAAGTTAGTCTTCGTCTGGGGTCATCTCAGATTGAGGACTATCCCATCCATATCGTTTCTGAATTTGATGCCAAGATCACCATCACGGAAAGCATCAGCCAGCATGACAGAGAAAACTATGCAACACAGGGTTGGTGCCAACATACAGTCCTTTTAACCCCAATTGCATGATTTGGAACTGGTCTGAAAACTCACAAAACTCCAGCGCACACATGAACATGCTGAATTGGAACTGTCAAACAATTGTTATCGGCAACATTACAACTGAAAAACCTGGGTCTGTTGCCTCACTTTGCACATAAGGAATGGTTTAGTGCTGTTGCTACAGAAAGAGAGAAACTTTTAGATTTTTGTATAGACAGATTTATTAGTCAAGGAAAAGTGGCCTTCTGAATATAAATTCCAATTTCTTTACATATTTAGAGCTGTACAGAAAAACTGTTCAAAAATAATTGAGAAGCATTATTAGCTACTTTCATATTTAAATAGATTACCAAAATGGTGCATAAAGACAGAGTAGTAAATATTTGCAGTGAAATACAAAGAGTGGTTTTTATAAGGAGAGAGGATTCAATTACCTTATTGTAGACTGGGAATAATAATAGGGTAAAGGGCAAAAAGAGGACAGTAATTCCTCAAATTCATACAAGAGCATTTCTTGCTCCACATATTCCCAGACATATGAAAGCAAGCATCACTGAACTAAATTCTTGGGAATGAAGTAGGTGAACTGGAGCATCTTTCAGTTGGGGAGCATTTGGTAAAACTATCATATCAGATTTGGAACAATAATGCAAGGCACAATCAAATTTAAAAATATTACATTATTTCAGTGACTTGAGAAAGGATATGAAACACAAACAGCAGCATGAAGATTGCCCGGTAAAGTAGTAGTTATCAAGGGTGATATTATGCAGTGAGCAGCAGATACACTCATCCCAATGCTACTTATGAGTACTTGTTTTCTTAAAAGAATTACTAAAACGTTTTATATGCAACACTGTCATATTGTGTTATAACTTAGAAAAGGAAAGGTGCATGATGACTAATCTATTTGAAAAGATTCAAACAAAAATGTTTGCAAACCACTGTACTAGACAAATGGAGGATTGCAAATATTACACCCTTGTTCAGATAAAAAAGGATAAATCAAACATTTATGGATTTAACTTAACACCTAATGTAGGTAGTAGGGAGACCTCAATCCATGATAAAAATAATTATGATTTAGAAAAAGTATAGACTAACAAATGAATATCAGCATATTTATGCTGATGTTCATTTGTTAGTCTAAGGTAAATTGAGGTATTATTTGATGAAGCAATGATGAGGGGGAATGAGGATAATGTAGTGTACATCAATTTCTAAAAAGGCATTTTAGAAAGTACTACAAGGCTTTTAAGAAAAACTACAATCCATGGGATTAAAGGATAACAGTTACATGAATGTAAAACCGGCTAACGGA